CTCACCTAGAATTTTCGGGAGCCTTTTTTCTGGCTGAAATTTTCGAAAAGGTAAGTTTTGATCCCTATGATTTTCGGATCTCGAGACTTTCAGCTAGGAAATCCGAACGGATGAAAAATGTTTAGGGGATAAAAATATGCCTATATCTACCTTTTAAATACTAAAATACGTTTAACAATGCTATGTTTAAGTGGTTTTGAACTATATTCTGCAATTTGCATAAGAAAGATAAACCCTGAAGGATTCCTATTGTGGATCAGTCAGATTGGGACCTCTTCACCTCATCTGAGTTTACCGTGCTCGTTTTGACTCACGGCTTTAAGAACGAGTTATGTCCTATGTGTAGCGTGCTTCTTTCGACTCATCGCTTCAAGAACGAGTTATTTCATGTGTAGTGTGTTTGTTTCGTCTCATCGATTTAAGAACGACCGAGCATATACTCGTGTTTGGTTGCAAGAATAGTTAACTGATGTTGCCAGTGCAGAGTCCAAAAATCTTCGCAGAGTGTAGGCCGTATATTTTTGTCTTCTATTTTTTGCCACGTCAAGGAAGCCACAACAAGCCATACCCTGATGAATGACACGTCGCTGTGTTAAGGTCAAATGAGGTAGTGCCTCTACCCCGGAAAGACGGATATGGCAGATTGAGTTGATCAATGGAACGTCTAACACTTCCTCTGGCTGCTGAATGGAGAGGAAAGTAATCAGTCAAAGAATATTCTTCAGAAAACCTTATCCGTTAGTACAATCACATTTCCATATTAAACCTTTGTGCGTATCTGGTGTACCAAATTTGCTAAAATATATAATCATCAGATGACGTTACGTTACGTGACGTTATGTTGTGATATAGTGATACGTGACTACATGTTGTGCAAAAAAGTGAAAGAACGTCAGGGGTCATGTAGCATAAGTATCAAATATAATCATTTCAAGTTCCTCTAAGATAGCAGACAGGATCTAAAACTATTGCGATGTGTTGGTGGGGTACTTTGGGACTCATAACTGTGATCGTTTGTCTGTCCACGACAAGTAAGTGTACTGTGAAATCTCGACTTCTAGTGATGTAAGATTTATTTGTTACATTTCAATGATCGTAATAATAATTCTCAAGTGGTTCTGTAGGCTTTTGTCAAACAGGATGCCTTAATTGTCCTGTATATCAAGACACGGAAGAAAGTCCCACTGACAACCCTTTAAATTTATATCTTGTTAGTTCATAACAGTTTTGGTGATAATAGTACACTGCAGGAGAAGATCTTAAACAGAAAAGTACGATACACGCATTGTAAACCTTTTAACAATCCTCGATAATCGACGAATGTCGCTGACAATAGCTAAGTTACAATAGTGTAAATTAAATTGTTCAGTCAGTCGATATGGTGATGGTAGGTCATCGGTAATTGGCACAGTGGATCTCCAGTTGCCTCAATTGAAAGACACATAGACCATCTCGTAGATTTGACACTTTATAAAATGAAGTTGTGAACTGAAGGATCAAGCTTTTCGGTGAAATTGCATGGCGTGCAAACTAATGATTATTCAGAATTTTCTCCATAAACTGATTGCTGAAATAGACTTCCGCGTGTGCAATTTGCAGTCACGCAAGCCTCGAAACTTAAAATGTAAATTTAGAAAAACACATTCAGTGGATGCGGAATGAATGAAATAAGACTGAACGACTGAGATATTGCAAAATGTCCGACCTAAGAACAACGCGGCGTCAACTACAATTTTAATATCATAGGTGACGAATTACTTTTTAATTTTGGCTCGAAATTTCAGCGTTGATTTGTAATTTCACATGTGAAATTACAAAATTGCCATGGCAACCCTTCTGTACGTCTCAGTGTCAAGATGGCGACGAAGTTTTAAAATGCCGTAAATGAAGATGTCAGGGAACAAGAAGACGCTTTAGAAAACCCGAACACACAAGAGAGCATCAACAAGGATTCTAACAGGTATTTTGCCGAAAAAGTTTGAAAAATTCTGAACTTTATAAGCCAAATTTAAGGTCTAAACATTTGAGAGAGTGGAGTTCTCGATACCGTCCAGGATAAACATGTCAAAAATCCAAGATTGCTAACGTAATTCGTCACCCATGATATTAATAGGTAATCAAATGGTATACTCGTGAAATTAGGCAATAATTTCACTTGCGTTTTGTCCAAATCCTAATAATTTCTTTCGCCGGAAGGCTCGGGAAATTATCAGGATTTGGACAAAACGCGCGTGAAATTATTCCCTTATTTCACTCGTCACCATTTGATTACACATTTATATACTAATACTGCGCTTTTACCAAACTGCAATTGTGTCTTTTTTTTTGTGTTTGTTGTAACGCAATTTAACAATTGTGTCAAACTAATTTAAAGTAATTTTCACGGGATGAAGATGTACTGTAAACGTTACCAGGAGAGGGTGCTGCCTCGTTCCTAGGTGTCTCAAGTGTGAAAAAACGCAACTGCACGAGCCATCAAGGAGTATCGCGCAATAGACCATGGGAACGTTAAGCGTGGACGCAAAGCACGTTGGGAAGGTGAACAAGAAAAATGAGACGACGCGTTCTTCTCTTCGTCTTTCCCATGATACCTAGCGCGGGACCAAAATCCCAGTCGCTCTCAAATCCGCTAGAACGCGCCTGGGTACGAGGCAGGGGAGGATGATTTTTTTGGATCGGTTTGCTGCACTGTCCTGTATACATAAGTGCTACAGAAGTTGTTTATATCAAGCTCCTATTTTTTTTGTTGTTCTCATTGCCGAGAAAAGGTTTACACTGCCATGGTTTGTATGTTCCAATTTGTGAGTTATTAATTTGTTTAAAGAAAGTTACCAATTTGCTTGGAATTAGCCCTTTTCCAATATAAAATAGTCAAATTTACCAACCTGCGCATGAAACAGGTTTGTAAGGTGAAACAGAAGAAATTCCAATGTTTAATGTTACAGAAAGGCTAGTAATTTGTTTTAAAATAGCCTTTTTCCATATAAAATAGTCAAATTTACCAAATTCAGCACGAAACAGGTCTTTCAAGTGAAAAATAAGCAGTTCCAATCTTTAATGTCAATTTTAATAATTTGGTACGGAACCGGCCCAGGAAAACATCCTCGGTAACTTATTTCGTACTAAAACCCATACTTCTGTCTGTTATTTAATATATATTTCAAGCGTTCTTTTCTTTCCTTTAAATATTGCACATTCCCTAGAATATGACTCTTGATTTATTTAATATTTTGCGAATTTATCTTCACTTTCATTCACTTATTCCTTCGTGGGAATTCAGAGTGTGTTCATTGGCCGTCGGGAAAATACGGGTTACCTAAAGTTACATCCGGGTGTCCTTCGTCGTATGGATTCCGCTGGAGGACTGGATGGCGATTTCAAGACACAAACAGCTATTATTCAAATAACAGAAAGTCCGAAGAATTTCACCTTGATGGAGAAGTGGACAACAAAAAAGTAAACAGGTCGTTCTGCATTAAAACGAATACAGTCAACGACCTCGAAAACAGTAGGCCTTCCTGGCCCTCAGGTTAGCAAATTTCTGCTGGTACATTCCTACAAGATAACATGATATTTATTGAACACAGAAATGAAAGTATTTTGTATGCGGATAATTTCTTTTGCTTCATCTTCTTTTTTTTTTCGTTATGTGTAGCACAATTTAATTAGATGTTTCATAATCCATTTTAACTTATTTTTCAGTTTGCGCGGTTTCCTTCGTTCTTTTTAGGGGAATATTTTACATAACCCCTCATTACTCTTCACTGTCTGAAAAGTTGGTGGCGGCTTTCTTCAAATATATATATTTTTTGTTTTATTCTTTTGTTTACTTCTTCATCGCCTTACCGTAAGGATCAGTTTGCCGTTTCATATTTTTCTACAAGTTTAATTGTACTGATCCAGGTCTAAAACTGGGAGATCCGGCACCACTCATTGGTTTGTCGCTGTGGACTTGCCGACATTTTATATATTTTTTATTGTAACAGGGGTGTGCGGGGCTGAAATGAACAATAGCTGAAAACAATAACAAAACAATTCAATATATATTTCCCCTGCTCCTATTCCCCCGGTCATATTCCCCTCGACATGTTTAACCATCCCAGTAAAACAACAGGAGTCAGAATTTTGAATTTCGGTTTAATGAACTTACCACATTTTCGTGGACTTCATTTTCTTCGTTGGCAGTTGTCACAGAGCAATGCTCTTCAAACTAAAAATTCGCATCACCAGCCGCGTCACTTTTAAACAAATTTGACATAACATCTCCAACGTCTACCTGCGAACATCCTGGTTTGCAAAGTGACTCGTTGGACGACTGACACAAACTGAAATCTGTCGCAGTGGGAGGTCCAAAAGAGTTTCCAAAACTGTGCCTTAACGTTAAGAATACTTTTTTCTCCGAGTCACTCATCTCTTTTTTGGTAAAACCTACTGCTTGACTACTTCACAAGAATTGGCCAATTTCCATATTTTAGAATTCAACCTCAAACAATTCGAGGCTCTTGGGAATAGGCACCTCTAAAGAATTAATTTAAAGCTTTTTGCTTTAGGAAAACTCACAAGTTAAAAAGAAGCACGTTATTTACCTGTCCCTCGGGGATATGTGATATACTCACCTGGTGCCGCCCCGAAGGGGCAGCCCGAGGGGCGGTACTAGGTGAATATTCCATACCCCCTCGTTCCAGGTAAATAACCCTTACTAAATTTCGTTAATACGTTTTTTCCTGACTAAATTAATGAAACTGATTTCTAGTAATTGGAAACAAATATTGTTACGTTTCTCAAGAAAGTTTACAATTTAAGGCGGGGCATGCAACGCTTTATACTCTTATTTACATCTTATCCTCTCTATAGGTAAATACTGTGTTTACAAGAAAGGTTTACTGTGCCCGACAGGGCTAACAAATGGTTTTGTTTACTGGGATGATGCTGATGATGATGACGACTACTATAATTTGAACAAAAAAGGTGGAATACTTCCTTCCGGCAGATATGAAGGCGGTGATACAAAAATAAAGTTTTGCTGCAAAACAGACGGAAATAAAAGTGAGCCAATCCTTCTTCCCACTGAACTCCCATTTTTTCTGTTGGCTTACGGATCAAAGAAATGTCAAATGGTCAAATGGGCGATAGCGACCCCGGAATGGATATATTACGACACAGAGGATAATCAAAACATAGACGATAGGGGACGGTATTATCCCTACAATGCAGGAAAACAACATCCGACCATATATTACTGTTACTACCGAGGTTAGTTACCCCATGGCACTGTAGTAAGCTATCCTATCACCATACATCCATGAAATTTTGTATTAACATGACAACTGATTTACTGTCTATTCAGTTGACCGTCGAATGCACAGTTAAAAACAATTCAGCTTTTAACAATAATCAACAGATTTATGAGGCTAAAAATCCAAATTGTACTGTTAAATTCTTATTACGCGTCCATTTTAACTGCTCGACGTTCTCCTATAAAGGGCGAAAGCCTTAAGGCAAAAAAAGACGTTCAACTCCATTGCACTTACACTAAACGAATTTTAATGTTTGGTACTCGCAGTGATCCGATCTACCAGGTTTTTCTCACTTGAAATTAATCCTGAACTTGCTCACATGAGAACAGAGGACAGACATGAGGTTCCATAAGGCATTAACCCTTTCACGTGCTACTCGTTACCTATCTTTAAGGATGTAATGAAACCATGAGCGGAGTCAACGGCACCTTCCACTCACCAAACTATCCAAACAAATACCCGGATGGACAGTACTGCTCCTGGAGGATCACGGTCAGCCCAGCGCAAATAATCCACCTCATGTTCACCAACTTCAGTTTGCAGAGCGAGAATAACACTGATGCTTTATATGTGTTTGATGCGCAAAATGACACAGGGGAGTTGTTGGGAGTATTTTATGGACAGCACCCTCCCCCCATGAATGGAATCAAGTCCTCGTCAAGCCATATGTTTATCATATTCAAATCAGATGAAACTGATTCTAGTTTTCATACCGGCTTCAATGCCACGTACAGTACCGTGTACAAATCAGGTAAAAAAATACCGGAAATTACTTTTCAGTGCCAGTTTATGACCTCTATTTACCTGCAGAAAAACTGTCGAAAACGGATAATCTAAAGTACAGAGTCTGCCGCGTTTTCATTTTCATCGTTGAAATGCTTTTAACTTATGGGCAGTTGTGGATGTACTATATTGAGCTATCCTGAAAAACTGCGGGATAATATCAACATACGTAAATAAAACGCAAGATTTTTTGTAATCTGAGCAAAAAAAAAAAAAATTCCCCTGGCCTGGGTTGTTCAAAGCTGGGTTAAGAAAGCCGAGGGTAATTGCATAATTTGATTTCCGAAGATATTAAAGCCCAAATCCATATTCAGTTAATTCTTGTCTACAATTTGATGATTGGATGCTCTAAAAACAATAGGGAAAATTATTCGAGAAAAGAAGAAGAAACCTGAATTAAAATGTAACCCCGGGTTAGTGCTAATCGGCCTTTGGACAACTGGGCCCTAGGCTAATTGTTCCAGCTTTCTAAAAGTAACTGTACTTTTTTTCTGATTAAAATACTACAGCGGTAATACCTACCCAAGAAGTCGCGTCAACAACTGCTAAAACATTTTTACCTTCATCATCAAAGACCACATCTGACATGGGAGTGACAGCAACAACTGTTGTAGCGACAAAAGACATCGGGAACAAAGACCAAAGGCACGCGTCTCAAGGAGAAGGTAACATATACTCGAGTTTTTAGTTGTGTAACACACAGTAAAAACCCACGTGTACAAACTTAGTGGTTTCAGAACCTCCTGGCAGAAATAAGCCAATTCATTGCCCAAACATATATAAGAAACTGTTTAGCCAAGCAAGATCAAGCAGGTTATTCTATGTAAGTTACATTTAAGTTATTTAAAGCAAGAAGTTTGAGATGCTACAATTGTACTGATAAAGACCTGAGTAAAACGTTTTGCTCATGTATTGATTAAGAGCATCCTTTTATACATCCGATAAGCGAAATCTTTTTCCTTTGAGCTTTGTAAAAGAAAAATTGCCACCTAAACTATCGCTGCATGTATTGCCTGGTACCGACATCATCACATGCACATTGTTTTTTAGCTACTTTTGCACGAAACTGAAACAAATATAATACGTACGTTACGAAAATACGTGTAACAAGGTACACAAGATGACAACAGCTCTCCACAGCGACATCTGCTCGAATTGTGCTGAGCATGAAGCGTCGTAAAGTACAAATCAGCTGACAAATATCTAAAAGACGATTAAAAAAGACGCTTGATATTTGATATCAATGTAAGTCGTAGAAAGACGAATTAACCTCACCTTTCAACTCTTTTGATATTCTGCTCAGAGCCCGATCGATTGTCGTCAAAGATAAACCTATATTTAGTATGTAGACGTATGCACAATGAAGGTCAATTGCCCTTTGTCACTCAAAACAGCTGATTTTTGATTTGGTATAATTGACACGTGTACGGTGACCTTTTAAGCGAAAATTAAATAATGTCTGAAGATTCCTTTCTTGGAAAAGACTCAGAAACTGAAAAGGAGCGGGAAAAAGAAAACAGAAATGGCAAAAAATGGCCCAAAAAAGTGCTCAAGTTGGGGTCATCAGGCTTTGGTATCGGTCCAAAACGTGTTCCTCTTTATAGCCCGAAATGCCACATGTCCATGTACTGAGTCTGTACTTATCGCGAAATCACCAATTTTACGTCCCCAATTAAAAGCATTGCTAACTCCTGTAGGCTAAAAATCCTATTGAAAAATATATATATTATCATTATCATCCGGCATCGCTACTATTATTGTTATTATTATTATTATTCTCACAGTAAACGTTGGTACTGGAACTCTTGTCAGAAATTGTTCTCTCTATCAAGTTAATGACCTCATACAGAAAGTTTAGCACCTTTCTCAGGATATTAGCTGTACCAAGCAGCGCTGATTTGTGAAACGTCCGAGACAAGCACTTTAATCCAGAGATACAAATTAATAATGGAGCCAAGGGCACCAATCACCACAGGAACTACTTCTGTCTCCAAGTTCCATACTCTAGCATTTACAATTATACAGTCTCAGTTCCTATTATTATTATTATTATTATTATTATTATTATTATTATTATTATTATTATTAAATACATTTTAATCGACAAGTAGATGAATTCAGACTATTTTTTAACACGATGATAGCTCTGTAAACTCCAAGGACATTTTACAGATACACAAACCAGTAATAAGGAATAATTAGAAACTATCAAAATAAAAAGGATTTGAATATTGATATTTTGACACAATTTGCCATTTCCAAGCTTACTTCACTTTAATCCAGTCTTTTTTTAATTCCAGGTTGACTTCGTGGATTCATTTTTTAATTTTCACTTTTAGTACAACCTCTCTTCTCGCAGCTCTGTTTTAATTTTTAAGCATATATATTTAATCCTTTAGCTCATTGGTGGGGTTTGAGCCTTGAAATCTTACACTTTTTTTCCGGTACCTAAGCCGCAGTCTACTAATCACTAATTAAAAGTTTGTTTGTGTTTTCCTCAAGGAGCCCCCAGCATAATGGGTTCGCAAACATGAAAAGAATTACAGTATCTCTTCCCAGGGCCAGCGGAAAATACGTCATTATATTTTCATTTAATACGCCATTTGCATGATGGCGTCATTTTACAACTGTCAGAATCCAGTTGATAATCACAGCGAGGTTCAAATAGCAAAAGCCCCAATTTCAGGCGCACGCAACGTCAGTTTTCGGAAAATATCTGTTCGGAAGACGATTTGAGATCTAGAATTTTCGGAACATTTTTTGTAAAATTTCTTGCTTGCCTACCTCTCCTAAGATTTTTGAACATCTAAAAATTGGTGTAATTGCCCATTTTAAACGGATTTTTACCCTAAAAAGCTCACCTAGAATTTTCGGGAGCCTTTTTTCTGGCTGAAATTTTCGAAAAGGTAAGTTTTGATCCCTATGATTTTCGGATCTCGAGACTTTCAGCTAGGAAATCCGAACAGATGAAAAACTTTTAGGGGATAAAAATATGCCTATATCTACCTTTTAAATACTAAATACGTTTAACAATGCTATGTTTAAGTGGTTTTGAACTATATTCACGCTGCAATTTGCATAAGAAAGATAAACCCTGAAGGATTCCTATTGTGAATCAGTCAGATTGGGACCTCTTCACCTCATCTGTGTTTACCGTGCTTGTTTCGACTCACGGCTTTAACAACGAGTTATGCCCACGTGTAGCGTGCTTGTTTCGACTCATCGCTTTAAGAACGAGTTATTTCATGTGTAGCGTGTTTGCTTCGACTCATCGATTTAAGAACGACCGAGCATATACTCGTGTTTGGTTGTAGGAATAGTTTACTGATGTTGCCAGTGCAGAGTCCAAAAATTTTCGCAGAGTTTAGGCCGTATATTTTTGTCTTCTATTTTTTGCCACATCAAGGAAGCCACATGTGTTAAGGTCAAATGAGGTAGTGCTTCTACCCTACCCCGGGTGCCAGAGACTTTTCTAGCGCGGTTTCCGGTTTCTGTCAAGTCTTTACAGTGACCCGCGCGAAAAGCTCGGCTCTCGGCTCTCGCGGCTTCGGCCTTCGGCTAACACCGAAAATTCCCACCGCACGCTAGAAAAACCTCTGGTACCCATGGTACCTCTACCCCGGAAAGGACGGATCTCGGGAGACGGATATGGCAGATTGAGTTGATCCATGGAAAGTCTAACACTTCCTGTGGCTGCTGACGGGAGAGGAAAGTAAAGAGTCAAAGAATATTCTTCAGAGCACCTTATCCCTTAATTCAATCACATTTCCACATTAAATCTTTATGCGTAACTGGCGTACCAAATTTGCTAAAATATATAATCATCAGATGACGTTACGTTACGTGACGTTATGTTGAGATATAGTGATACGTGACTACATGTAGTGCAAAAAAGTGAAAGATGGTCAGGGGTCATGAAGCTTAAGTATCAAGTATAATCATTTCAAGTTCCTCTAAGACAACAGACAGAATCTAAAGCTATTGCGATGTGTTGGTGGGGTACTTTGGGACTCATAACTGTGTTCTTTTGTCTGCCCACGACAAGTAAGTGTACTGTGAAATCTAGACTTTTAGTGATGTAAGATTTATTTGTTACATTTCATTGATAGTAATAATAATTCTCAAGTGGTTCTGTAGCTTTTTGCAAAACAGGATGCTTCAATTGTCATGTATTGTTACGAAATTAAATCGAGACACGGAAGACATTCATAAGCAGTGCCGTAGCCAGACCAAACGGCCAACCGAGGCAGGCGGGAGTTGCTAGGGGGGTTCGGGGGCATCCCCCCCCCCGAGAAATTTTGAACTTTAGTCTCTCGGAAATGCGATTTGCAGCGTTTTCTGGGCCTTTCGGTAACTTTTTTTCGAGTTAATTTAAGTGGAATTTAAAAAGCAATAATCAGAAACAAGCTACATAATCTGGGTGACCATTAACCTCGCGTATGGTTTTGATCAGTATTTGTTCCAAAAAAATTTGAGTTAACGTACGTAGCCCCTTGAGATCGATGATATGGTAATTTTTTCATAGTATATTGACTGAATTGCTGAATTCTTTGTAATATCATAATGCGTCAAAAATATCCGATGATCGCTTATGTAAAATAAAAATGATCGGCGAAATTCGTCAAAATTTTACCGAGGCGAGTGCCTCGGTTGGCCTCATATTAGCTACGGCGCTGACAAGAACCCTTTAGATTTATATCTCGTCGCTTCAAACGGTGTTGGTCTTGATGAATCGACTACACTGCGTAAAAGAAGATCTTTAGCAGATAAATTCGATATACTTATTATTGTAGTTTATAACAATGTCCTATTCTGAGCGAAAATCGCTGACAATGGATAAGTTATTTATTGTGTAAATTATACTTTTCAGTCAGTCGATATGGTAATGGTAGGTGGTAAAAGTCATCCACCATCTCTTGTTGCCTTAATTTAAAGATATTTAGACCATCTTGTAGATTTGACGCATTAAAAAATAAAGTTATCAACTGACTGATTCTTTTTTTTGTGTGTGAAATTGCATTGCGTACAAAATTAGTCAGAATTTACACCATAAAACTGAATGCTGAAATTAACTTCCGCGTGTGCAATTTGCAGTCACGCAAGCCTCACTGAAGCCTCGAAACCTAATGCAGAGAGATGGGAAATATTTGTTAACTTTTCCTTTAGTTTTTATTCCCCTCTCAGTCACTAATAAGTTTGTGGATTTTAGGTTGCGTTCATTGGCCATCGGGAACATACGGGTTACCCAAAGCTACATTAGGGTGTCCTTCGTCGTATGGATTCCACTGGAAGACTGGATGGCGATTGCAGGACACTAATGGCGAAGATTCAAATAATAATAAGTCAAGCGAATTTCACCTTGATGGGGAAGTGGACAACAAAAAAGTAAACAGGTCGTTCTGCATTAAAGATAATACAGGCAACGAGCTCGAAAACAGTAGGCCTCCATGGCCCTCAGGTTAGCAACGTTGTGCACCATCAGTATTCACAAAAGATAGATATCTAAAACAGAAATGAAAATATTTATTTCTTTTGCTTCTTTCTTTCAATATGTGTAGAATAGTTAATCTATTTACGTTTAACTGATTCTTTTCAAACGAACATCGGTTCAATTTATTGTACTGTGTCAACTAAGAAACCGATTCCTAGAAATTGGCTTGTTTCCTAGCTAGGTTTCCTCAAAGGAGTTAAAAAAGTAAGGCAGGGGTCGTTTTTAACTGTTATTTACAGACTTTACTTCTGTTCTCCTGCAGGCGAATATTGTGTTTACAAGAAAGATTCACAGTGTCCATCAGGACTGACAGGAGGTAACGTTTACTGGGATGACGACGACCTGTACTACGATAATTTGAATGACGATAGTGGAATACTTCCGTCAGGCCAATATCGAAAAAATACAAGGATAGATTTTTGTTGCCAAACAAGTGGAAACAAGAAGAGGCCAATCCTCCTTCCCACTCAATTCCCATTTTTTCTGTTGGCTTACGGATCTGATGAATGTCAAATGGTCAAATGGACGATAGCGACCATGGAATGGATACATTATGACACAGAACACTGGGTTAACCGCGACCGTGCAGACTGGCCTTACCCCTATAATGCAGGAATAAAGCATCCAACCATATATTACTGTTATTACCGTGGTACGTCATCTCTATAGCATTTTTGAATTTTTTTTTCTATCCAATCACCCCACAGCCATGCAGTTTTGTGTAAAAATACAACTGATTTGCGAACTTTGAACGTCGTAAAACCAATTCAGTACTTGACAGAGGAAACACTTTTCCAGTTTCAACTTACAATAGCCGCTAAAATGGAGGTTCAGGGGTCAATATAATAAAACTTTTACAAGTTTATTTTCAAGTGCAGCCATCGTTTAGAGTCTGAAAACAATAGGTACATTCGCAAATTACGCTTGTAAAAGGTTGATTAAATTGACCCGCCAGATCTATTGCACTTACACCAAAAATGAAACACGACAGGTTGTACTCGCAATCAGTCGTTCTATTGGGTTTTCTTTCAATACTTTAAAGCTATAAAAGCGTTATACCTTCTGAATGCTATTCCTTTTTTACCTTTAAGGATGTAATAAAACCATGAGTGGAGTCAAAGGCACCTTTCACTCTCCAAGCTATCCAAACAAATACCCGGATGGACAGTATTGCTCGTGGAGGATCACGGTCAGTCCAGGACAAAAAATCCACCTCATGTTCACACACTTCAGTTTGCAGAGCGAGAACAATACTGATGCTTTATATGTGTTTGATGCGCAAAATGACACAGGGGAGTTGTTGGGAGTATTTTATGGGCAGCACCCTCCCCCCGTGAATGGAATCAACTCCTCGTCAAACCATTTGTTTATCATATTCAAATCAGATGAAACTGATTCCAGTTATCACGCCGGCTTCAATGCCACGTACAGTGCCGTGTACAAATCAGGTAAAAAACCCGGAAATTACTTTCAGTGCTATTTTATGACCTCTATTTACCTGCAGATAAACTATCGAAAACGGATAATCTAAAGTGCAGAGTCGGCCACGTTTTCATTTTCATCGTTGAAATGATATTAACTTATAGGCAACTGTGGATGTACTATATTGAATTATCCTGAAAAACTGCTGGATAAGAACTGTAATTAATATCAACATACGTTAATGAAAGACAAGATTTTTTGTAATCTGAGGAAAAAAAAAATCCCCTGGGCTGGGTTGTTCAAAGCTGGGTTAAGAAAACCCATGGTAATTGCATAATTTGAATTCCGAAGATATTAAAGCCCAATCCACATTCAGTCAATTCTTGTCTGCAATTTGATGATTGGATACTCTAAAAAAAATAGAGAAAAATATCCGAGAAAAGAAGAAGAAACCTGGATTAAAATGTAACCCCCGGTTAGTGCTAATCGGCCTTTGGACAACTGGGCCCTAGGCTAACTGTTCCAGCTTTCTAAAAGTAACTGTATTTTTTTCTGATTAAAATCCTGCAGACGTAATACCTACCCAAGAAGTTGCGTCAACAACTGCTAAAACATTTTTACCATCATCAACAAAGACCACATCTGACATGGGAGTAACAGCAACAACTGTTGCAGCGACAAAAGACATCGGGAACAAAGACCAAAGGAACGCGTCTCAAGGAAAAGGTAACATGTACTCGAGTTTTTAGTTGTGTAACGCACAGTAAAAACCCACGTGTAAAAACTTAGTGGTTTCAGAACGTTTAACCTGCTGGCAGAAATATGCCAATTCATTGCCCAAACATATATAAGAAACTTTTTAGCCAAGCAAGATCAAGCAGGTTATACATTCTATGTAAGTTACAGTTAAGTTATGACAAACATTTCAAGCAAGAAGTTTGACTTTGAGATTGCAAAGATTTGAAGATAATACTTTATCTATTTCTTTTATATATATATATTTATTTATCTTATTTGTTTTTTACATCTCTTGTTATTGAAATAATCCTACATATACATTCCGCAATCAATTTAGTCAGGCTTGTAATAATACACTTATGAATAACTGCTTATATATAAGGACAAAACCCAAGTATATTTCGTTTTCTTACAGACAACAAGTATATTTGCTTCATAGAAATTAAAAATTTAACTACTACTTAGCCTCAATTGAAAATAACTACCCCAAAATACGAGATTCTTTTTTGTCTGACAAGAAATGTTCGTCCTTACACGCGGCTTTATATTCTAGTTTTTCCAGTGAAGTAAGATTACATTTCCTCCACAAAAACCTTATTACCTAGAGACACTTTTTGGTAGCAAGGAACAAAAGGAACAAAAGCGAGAGTCATGTTGTCCGTTTAACGCAGGTTTTCACTGTATCTCACAAAGAAAACTATCAATATCATCAGTGGCTCTCGTTGAGACGTACCCCGTTACTATTGACTGAATTTATGTCTAGCAGGTTTAAACATTGTAGCTGTTGTTGTTCCGTTGGTGGCATTGCTCTTCCTAGTAGCCTTGCTTGTAGCCGGATTCGTTTTTTGCAAAAGGTGAGATTTGTGTTGACTCAGGTAACAAACTGACTATACAAAAATATATTCCTCGCATTTTCTCAGTATCCTTAAAAGGCACTGGATCATTATTCAGTTATAGGATTTAACAGTCACTCACTCATTCACTCACTTACTCTCGTCCACTTACTCAATCAATCAAATCAATCGATCAGTCAATCAATCCATCTATTAACCAGTCAGTTGGTCAGTCAATCTATTGCCACACAATGCAACCAAACAACCAATAAACCAAGCAAACAAACAATCAGTCAGGCAGTCAGCCGATTAACTAATCAACCAGCCACCCACTGCAAGCCGCTAATGACCCGTCCGAAACACAACTAGCCAACCAACCAATATTCAGAAGGTCAATCAATCAACCAACTAACCGATGAAAGCAATCAATGAAAAAACCAAACTACCAGCCAAGCAACCCTCACAAACAGTTAATCAAAATTTCAGTCAATTAATATATTAACCAGTAACTCAGACATTAGTATATAATTGTATGATTGATTTAAGATAATTATTTATCAGGAATAACTTAAAAGGAATCTTTATATTTCGCTTTAATTCACTTTAGGCGGAGGACGAAAAGGCAAGGACAAGGAACACCGAAGGAAGTAGTTTTTTCGAGGTAGTGTACGAAGCTCTCCTCTACTGCTCCTGAATAGTTTTACTACTTAGGAAGAAGTTATTCCCCAGTTACTCAAATAAATAACCTTATACGCATTTTTTGTAAATTTTTGCTCTTCTGATTTGTAAAAGTGGGTATTTATTTATTAATAAGCTTACAGAAACTTTATTGGTAACAACTAGGACGTCTGTGTATTGTCCATGGCCTTGTATACAACGTAAGACTCAATCTGATTTTGGCAATTTTTAGTTAACACTTTGTTTCGAATTCGAGGCTGTCACAGTCAGGACAGGAAAAGCGTACCCTGAAGAACCATTTCATGAATTGATCATATAAAAATTTAGTTAACCCGTTACCCGTTGACCACTACCAAATTCAAATCTGCATTACTGCAAGCGAGCATAATGAGGAGTGATTGCAACTTCACCATATTGGGACAGATTGAAAAATCATTCACACTTTGAATGGATAAAATTCCTATGTAGATTTTTAGTTCAGGAAGAAAATTAAGCTGACAAGACTGAAATTTCATCTACCTCCCATGTGAATACACCGCTCGTAACGTATGAACGTGTAAACAATGAATTCATTTTAAAATAAAAATGAATAGTTACGGGATATGTTTGACCTGAACTGAATGTACAGGCGGCTGATTGTGTATTTAAATTGCAAATGGATCAATCTCATGACTGTTTGAAATGATTCTGTTTTACAGGTCCAATAGCGAAGGACCCAGGTCTGTTGAAAATCCATACTATAACAGGTACAAATATAAAGAAAATAAAACATTTGTCATTGTTTCTGCAGATTATATTAGAGTTAAAACATCTTTTTGGTATTTTACAGTGATATGGTGATAGTAAATACAGCTTGCTCTTCTGACGACAACGGGTTGTACACTAATGTTAGAGAGGATAGAAGGACTGACAAAGGTACATGCAAACGGCATGAAATTGAAAAACCATTGTCTGGCGAAAGTGAGGTGTACAGCAATGGTGCAAAGGACCACCTGAGTGATAAAAAGACATGCAAACTTCGGGAAATTGCCGAAAACGAACTGTACGCCAATGTTGAAGAAGACCGTAGGATTGACAAGGAAACATGCAAACAACTTGAACGTGAAAGCCCGTGGCCTTGCGAAAGCGACGTGTACAGCAATGTTGTGACAGAACTCAGGGATGATAAAAATCCATACTGTGAAGAAAAACTTGCAGAAAACGAGCTCTACACTGAGGTTGAAGAAGACGAAAGGATAAACAAGGAGACGCGCAATGAGCAGGAAAGTGAAAATCCATTGTACGAGTCTGCTACGAGTGAAGTGGAATTTAATCCCATCTATACCTGACAAACACGTTTTAATGCCTTATTTCCTCATCAAAGTCGCGTCATTCTGTAGCTGGTAGTTTATCTACTGTGTCTGAAAACCGTCACCATGTGACGGAAAATTTTTTCTTTTAGAATCCGGAGTCTGTAAAATGTTGCCTTGGAATCCGGAACCCTGGGCTTTGAATCCAGAATACAGCTCAAGGAACCCGGAATCCCACTAACGATTTGAATCCAGAGTCCAACTTCCACTTACATAGACTGGAATCCAGCACCTGGAATCCTATCCGGAATCCACGGCGTGGAATCCAGAATCCAAGACTGTCTCGGATTTCCTTACATAGGCAGTGAAAGAGCAAGAATAAAATAGGACTTAACGTTTGAAAAAATGACGTTGACACTTAATCTGCAATTAGTTCATCAGTCCGAAGCTAACCGTATCCAGTAACAGTAAACCTATTGCCCAAGGTACAATCACGGACAAAAGTTGTTGGGAAGGTTGTACAACTTAACAGTGGTCCATTTTAATCCTCAAAAAAGAGAGTTTTCTCCTTTGCTAAATATCCCTCGTCCCCCCTATTCAATGTTGGGATATAACAGAACAATTACGCGCAACCATTAAGGTTTTGCTCAACATTGGGCCAGGGGCGGGAGGAGGAAGAAAAAAAAGAGGTGAAAAAAGCAACCTTCCCAACACTTTTGACGATGATTGTAGCTACAATAAACAATTAGCTATTAATGTTTTTGTAGAACATTGCAATAAAAGTGAAGTGTTTCCCATTGACACTGATTTGTAGAACAAAAAAAGACATAAGACGAAATTTCTCTCAAAATAGTAGCCATTTTGAGGCAATGCAAATTATAGAAGTTTAGGTTTACTCTTCGCCTTGCTATAACTTATTTAATCAAGTATAACTATAAGTCAATGGCCGCATTATCATGATATTAAACGATAAAAACATTATGACATAAAATGCTATTTTCTGATCGACCTCAAGCACGTCTAAATGACTCTTCTTTTACTTTCAAGCTCAACAAATAAACCTTAATAAAGCTTGCACCACACCTAGATTGGTTTCCTTTAATTTTAGCGGAGTTTGAAATAATATCCCGACAGCCATCCCCGCACCTTTTTTCATGAGAGCCCCCCGGGATAAAGGGATGATTCATCGTGCTTTCAGCTGGAAGTTTTCATCTTTTCCTCGATCGTCATCATTTGTCAGTATATTTTATATATGCACACTTGAAGTGGCAGAAACAGTTGTTCTCCATGCAGCGACTAACCGACCGATCTCGAGCTCGAGTAAAAAGACAGTGGCGGAACCAGACCTTCAGATAAGGGGGAGGCCCGGTCATCCAGACCCTGAGATAAAAATCTTTTTCGGCCCTTCGGGGCTTCGTATGGTCTAAAAATAAGGTGGGGGCCCGGGCCCTGTTCTCAATGCAGCGACTAACCGAGCTCGAGCTGGAGTAAAATGACAGTGGCGGAACCAGACCTGCAGATAAGGGGGAGGCCCGGTCATCCAGACCCTGAAATAAAAATCTTTTTCGGCCCTTCGGGCCTCAGTATGGTCTAAAATTAAGGTAGGAGGCCGGGCCCTCAGGGCCCCTTCCCTGGAACCGCCACTGAGAGACCCATATAAACCATTCCATGTGGACCGAAATATTCGTCGACCGGCCTGGGTATTAAAATAAAGCCCTCAAGCAGGCTCATAGCCCACCCTGCCTCGCAACATTAACGTTTTTTATGGAATAAAAACTTCATAGGAACCCGTCGAAATCCATACCCCTTCGCGGAAACGTTTCGCTAAATTGGAGGTTGGAGACCATTGACCTTTTTGCCCAAAAAGGTTCGGTTACGAAAGAAAGAAAAAATGTTAACGCCCCACTTATAATTATCTTATGGGTAATTTGTTAATTGTGTGAGTGTTTTTTTTACCTTGGTAACGCACCAGGGTCACGTTCTTGAAGGGATTGAAAGGTCTAAATTATCAGTGTGATGTCTAACTTATTGTACCTTCCTTTCATTCGCAACGTACACCAGTACTGTAATGTTCTTGTTTGCTACCCTAGGATTGTTGACCGTTTGCTTTAACATAAGACCGTCAGGTGGGTATTTGTAATAATTGAAATCCTTTGTAGGCTTATTGCAGTGACCGGTGAAACTAGCATTGCAACCGGACATGGCAAATATTTCACCCCAGTATGCGGTTTACACATTTGTCCACTGAAAGGGTATGGTCACACTATTTCCCCCAACAAGTTTTTTTCTCTTGTATGCAGCTAGTTGAGATTTTTTTCTCTTTTGAGTTTTTATCCATAGTAGGATATTAACATCGATAAGAATCCACAGGTAAAATTCCACGAGGATTATTGTTTTAGGGTGTTTTAGTTATGACGACTGAGACGTTTCACGATGAAAAGCCATTCAAAACTTTGTCGTCGGCCGATTTCTATCATTCCGGTTTTTCAAGGTTAAGTATAAAGGATTGGATGTTAGATATTCTTGTTGCTGGATTCCGTTTCGCTAAATTCTTTCTTAATTATTCTGCTCAGTATACTCGGACTTCCTGTTGAAAACGGTACAATATCATGTTCTGAGGTTGCGTGATCAATGCTTTAAAACTATTCGAGCTTGGTAATTAATGCTATACATTCATAATGCATAACCTGCATTTATAGTATTTATTAGTAATTTATGTTGATCGAATACCCTCTCGTATTATTCCAGCACTTAATTGAAAAGCGAACTTGAATTCCAAGAGAGCTTTCCTCATGGGGTAATGTCATGCGGGATATGCCTACGAGGGTCGAGACTCCAACGGTGAACTCAGCCGTATTGTCAGATAACACTGACACGCAACGGGCTAATTGTCCAATCAAATGGACGTAGATTTGATTGACTGTTGCACAGCTACTTGTTCCAATTCGCACAAGTACAAGCAGCAGAGCCACAACATTACATGATCGAAAATAACTTACTTTCCAGGGACATTTCGTTGGCCATCTGGTACATACGGGATACCCAAACCTACATCCGGGTGTCCCGAGGATGACGGTTTCCAATGGAAGGAAGGATGGAGATCCCAAGACACAAATGGAGTAAATTCAAACAACTCCAGGTCGCAAGAATATCACCTAGATGGGAAAGTAGACAACACGAAGGTTCAAAGGTCATTCTGCATAAAAAACGATACAACAAATGATAGGAACAGACTCTCCTGGCCATCAGGTTGGTAATTATCAAAGGAAGGCATGTTATTAGTTTTGTTTGTAATCCATTATTTCTGATATAAGTACAATTGAACCTATCTTGACTTAAGCGCTCACCCATGGAGATAGGTCAGCGGTATCCATCATGGAGGGATAGTTCTGGGTTTCAGATACTTCGTCACTTTTTCTAAACTTTTAATATCATAATCACTGTGTGCGTAGGATAGCCGTTCATCAAGTACCGAATTGACCAATAGTAGCATAGCGGTAAATCGAGCACCGGAAGTCGTTTTCATTTGACGTTGCGTTTATTTGGCGCTGGTGTTACAGACATGTGGCAGTTGAAGATAGGTTCCCGTTAGCAGAGGATAGACACAGTGGAGTGTTCAGATCAGGAGTTGTTTCCTTATAGCAGTGCACAAGACTTTTAGTCCTCTTTTTGTTCTTATTATGAAGCAACTCTAAGATCGTTATGTAATATCGAATTAGATACGGAGATGCATGAATCTCTTTGTGAATCTGGTTACATTAACGTGCCGGGACACTCCGCACTCGTTTTGGATTTCTACATCTGAGAATTGATGGACAAATAAGTTAAAACCCTTTCAGTGATTTAATCTATGCTCCCTTAGCCCCAATCTCTCGGAGTGCAAGAGAAACTATTATATAGCAGTGTAGTTACTAATTTACCGCCGTATTCTTTCAACAGGAAAATACTGCATTTACAGAAAGAACCAGTGTCCTTTTAAAATGAAAACGGGCTTTGTCTACTGGGATGATGCTGATCCATATGGCGTAAATAAAAATAATTTCAATGATAAAAATGGGACGCTTCCAGATGGGGAATACAACCTCAACACAAAAATTGAGTTTTGTTGCAGAACAGACGGAAACAAAAATGATCCTATCGTTCTACCCTCTGAAAAACCATTTTTCCTTCTTGCGTATGAGTCGCGAAAGTGTCAGATGGTAAAGTGGGCGACAGTGAGGCCTGAGTGGATATATTACGATACAGAGGAAAATCGAAACGCAGATAACAGCAGCGGAGCGTTTCCCTACCACGCTGGTGTAAATCATCCAGCTATACATTACTGTTATTATCATGGTAAGTAAATCTTTCGGGTGGGGAGATGGGAAGCGGGAGGGGGGGGGGGGGCGGGGGGGGGCACCCCCAAAAATGGGGGCGATATTTATGGCCGCCTGATGGGGTATAGTTTTTGGGGGCCCCCCTCTTAAAATAAGGTTTCTTTTTTACCCTTGTGGGCGCTGTTTTCTTAGTCGCGGTTGGGGGGGAGGGAGAAGAGGAGAAAGAGGGGAGGGGGGGGAGAGGAGGGAGAAAAAATAAAAAAAAAAAAAAAAAAAACAGAAAAAAAAAAGCGGGGCGTGTTTTCCCGATATGGTGTGGTAAAATAGGAGGTTTTAATTTTGGTTGTTGTATGGGTGGAAGAGGGTGGGGGGGGGGGGGGGGGGGGGGGGGGGGGGGGGGGGGGGGGGGGGGGGGTGGCTACTCCCATAAATGGGGTCGATATTTATGGCCGCCTGATAGGGTATAGTTTTTGAGGGTCTCCATCTTAAGATAAGGTTTCATTTTTGCCCTTGTTGGCGCTGTGTTCTTGGTATATATGATCATTAGATAGGGTACCGTTATTATATCAGCTAAAAGAGAGTAAATGCCTTGGTGCACGACGAATAAATCATCTGTGAAAACTAAACTTTATCTTAGAGTATTAGGAAAGCGATTCACGGAAGATTTGCATGTTTCCATTAAATACTTAGTTTCTGTCTTTCCCTTGAATTGGGTCTTATTTTCCTGGTTTGGGCGTCAAATAGGGTATCAGTTTTCGTTTGTCTCATGCTTAAATATAAGGGTCTGGGTTTAAGACCCTGGGCGGTACACACCTGATCGAAATTTCTGGGAGCACCCTCTGGTGTAAATCTCGTTTCTGCTACTAATAAACCTCAAATCGTAAATATGTCATTACCGATTACCCTCGCGGCTTTTCAGGGAATTTACAACAACGTTTGGAACACGTTTGCCAAACTGTTTGAGTAGCAGTTTACAGTCAATGAAGGAATCAGTTATGAATGCCCCTTACTAGTTACGAGTGTAAAATTTAGATACATCACCGGGGACTACAACTCCTGCTCCTTAGAAACAGCGACAACACTGTGTGATTGGAAAACCGTCATTACCGATGATATTTATCTTAAGATATAACATTTTGCACTTGACGCATGTGCGTGGGTAGCCTGTGCATGTTAAGCATACATTTATCTTTTAGGTTGTAACAAGACTCTAACTGGATTGAACGGCACTTTTCACTCACCAAACTATCCAAACAAATACCCGGATGGACAATACTGCTCCTGGAGGATCACAGTCAGCCCAGCCCAACAAATCCACTTAACTTTCACAGACTTCAATCTGCAAAACGAAAATAACAGGGACGCTTTATATGTGTTTGATGGAGAAAATTCCACAGCGGAGGTGCTGGGAGTATTTTATGGAAGTTACTCTCCCCCAAAAGAGGGAATAAACTCTTCTTCAAACCACATGTTCATTATATTCAAGTCAGACAATAATGGCTCTTACACCGGCTTCAATGCTTCTTACAGTGCTGTTAATTATTCAGGTAATGATCATGTACCTCTTATTAAACAACTTCGAGGGTTCTTACTGAACGTTATGGACCAAGTTTTCTTTCTAGTGATCCGTAACTCACAATACAGACCAAGAATACAGGCCTATAAGTTAATTGGGCGCGCAGAAGAAGAAACATTCAAATTTAAGAGGCGGTACGCGCAAATTGATCAATAATACCACGTGTTTATTTCCTTCTCTCTGAAAGGAAATAAAAAATTTTCTTTGCTGGTCACGTGGCATAACGTTATTGTATAGACAGAGGACAAAAACGGACATAAATAAGCAGTTAATTATCTTCTCTTATTAACCCTTTAGCCCCAATATTCCAATACAAATTCTCCTTCTTATACTTCCTTACAGCATTGGTTGAAAGAATTTGAGAAAAGATTAAAGCATTTTGCCTTTAGTGATCACTGTATTCATTCTCATCAACTTTTCTCTTGATTATGTATTGATATCGTTAGGAGAAAATTGATGCTGGTCACTCTTGAGACTTAGAGGGTTAAGGGGCTTTTCAACGATTATGAAACGAATTAGGTATGTCAATTGAAACATAACAAATTAAAAATTTCAAGTGTCAGAGGGAAACCAGCGAGCTATTTACAAGTAAAGCCGGAGTGACCGGGTTAAAACCTAGTGCTCTAAGCTATCCGGAAATGTTTCGTCCCATGTTAGGGAATGCGGATTCTAGAAAAATTATTGCTTGTGGAATCCGGAATCCTGGGCTTTGGAATCCGGAATACAGCTCAAGGAATCTGGAATCCCATTAACGACTGGAATCCAGAATCCAAGTTCCACTGACAAAGAATGGAATCCAGTACCTAGAAACCAGAATCAAAGACTGTCCTGGATTCCTTTACTTTGGGCGATATGCTTCTTTTACAAATCATGCCTCTTTTTTTCTCACTAGCTCCAACTGCTGCACCTAAGACTACGCGTGTGCCGGAAGTGACGCCATCTCGAAAAGTAACTCCAAAACCTTCAGGAACGACAACAGTAATAGTGGAGTCCTCTTCAAAATCAGGCGGGAAGACAGATTACACTAAAAAATCTAAGGAGGAAGGTATCGAACACGAATCGTTCTTTATTTCATTCCCACATATTACTTATAAGCAGAGGCGGAAGCTTATCATACCCGAACCATCATAAGTATCTCCCATCATACTTAACCTTCATCATGGAATTCATATGGTGTAAAATTATTAGATACAGTATAATAAGTCCACTGTGTGCATCTTAGCAGTACAAGACATACGAACACACACACTGTCATAATGCGGCGAAACGTCTTTCCTTCTTGAAAGATACCGAAAGAGGCCTTACTAGATTTGACTGGTAGTGTAAAGCCGTCGGCTTAGTTAGTGCCGTTTAGATAATATGGTTGTAATGAAGACGGGTGCAATTACCACCGAAATGACGTAGTACAAAAGATTGTACCAACAATAGTTTCCGCAACACCAAGAAACAGCCTAATGGGGAGATTAGACCAACATTTTCAGCGACAGCACCACTTCACTTCGGTAGTGAGCAGAACAACACCTATCAACGTAAACCACGCCTTTCTCTAACTTCTTTGCCGCCCTCTGCACAAGATGAAATTTTAAGCTCCTTAAAAAAGAAAGTGAAGGCCAAGGCGTATTCAGAAGGGGCTCTTTGGCTTCACCTTCATTACCAAGTTTGAAAGCAAACTCGCTTCTACTCCCCTACTTGGCCCCCGAAACGAGAGAAGACACTGGGAACAATTAAGGTTGGGTTGAAAGGACGAACTTTATTACGTCAATTTTGTTGTTGCCCGTAGGAAAAGGTCCCTTAAGTACTATCTTGTTGATCTAGGTGTAAATCTGTGTCTCTAACAGGTAAGGATTTGCGAGCCATCGTCGTTCCAGTGGTAGCATTGTCTCTTATTCTTGCCTTTTTGGTAGCAGGATTGCTTTATTGCAAAAGGTGAGATATTGTTGAAGACTGGTTCATAAATAAAACCACAGGGGACGTTTACGTTTGACCTAAAAACTGATAGAGTATAGTACTCTTTATTTCATAGATCGTTTTCACTCACGTGGTTAGCAGCTAAGCAAATTTCTTGGAATAAAAGAAAGTTTTTACATGAGAAAAGAATTCAATCCCCACAGAAGTTTTTTGGAAGACCAACATGGCCGCCATTTCATTGTTTTGTACCCAATGTGGAAGCCGTGACGTCATGTGAAAACGATCATAAGGGTGAATATAGATCCCATTTTCCCACGTTTCACTTTCACCTCTCATTTAAGGCCTTTCTTAACGGCAAAACTGATTCGATTGTGAATAACCTGATCTTTCTGTTCGTTATAGAAAAAGAGCGCACGAAAAAGAGCAAGCAACTCCAAAACTTCTGTTTTACTCAAGGTAAGCATGCCAGTACTTTTCTATCAAAATCCCGCCTCTAGATCCTCCACAAACGCACTTATAGATTTGTTTTCACGGTACGGTCGGTAAGGTACCTTGCATGAAATTATGATTATTAATTATTTTCGTGGGAACATGAACCTGTGAATGGTATATCTTTAATTTCACGCAATTGTCAAATATGGCGAAAGAACTTTGGGCAGGGCTACCAAC